AATTTTGCAGATTTTTTAATAAGATTTTAATATAATTTAACCAAGTTTTACTTTTACCATTTAGACATCTGTCTAAATTCTTGATTTTGTCCAGCAACCTTAGATAGAATGATAAAAAAATAATCGTTCTAAAGGAACGATGATGTATCATTCTAAAAGAACGATAAAAATAATTGTTCTAAAGGAACAATGATGTATCGTTCCAAAAGAATGATAAAAATAATCATTCTAAAGAAACGATGATGTATCATTCCAAAAGAACGATAAAAAATAATCATTCTAAAGAAATGATGATGTATCGTTTCAAAAAAATGATAAAAATAATCATTTTAAATGAATAATGATGTATTGTTCCTTTAGAACAATAATGTATTGTTCCAAAAGAATGATAAAATAAATCATTCTAAAGGAATGATGATATACTATTCCAAAAGAACGATAAAAAATAATTATTCTAAAGGAACGATGATGTATCATTTCAAAAGAACGATAAAAAAATCATTCTAAAGGAACAATGATGTATCATTCTGATAGAACGATGAAAAAATAATCATTTTAAAGGAATGATGATATATCGTTCCTTTGGTGACGATTTTATCAATATCTATATTATTCATATATCCATGAATAATATGGATATGGATTATCTGTATTATCCGTATATCCATGGATAATATAAATATGAATTATCCGTTCAATTTTTTTTAAATTATCTATATCCAGGTTTAATTTTTATATGTATAACAGATATTAAATTTATATTATGGATATATATCTATGGATAATATAGATACTCAGATCTAAACTCTAGCAAAACCTATTGTATCCATTTTGTGGATTTCTTAATAAATTGCAAAAGGATACTGCTCGGCTTTATAAAGTTTTACATTGTTTTGCTTATACTACTAAAATTTTAGATAATCATCATAATCTTGAATTTAGTTCAAGAATGGTAGCAAAGATAGAATCACGTTAGAAAGAATGGGAGTAGCCACTTTTAATTCTTTCTTTTGCATTTCATCCATCTTACAAATTACAAAAATTCCATTCATCAACTCCAAATCTTACCTAGACTCATATTGGATAATGGTTAAAGTATTATTATGAATCATAGTTTGGATCTAAACCTGTATCAATTTTACGTGAATTAACTAGATATAAAAGAGCTGAAGATCTATATGATATGAATTCATTTAATTAATTTCACAGTAATTTGGTGGATTTTTAGGATTCAACAATTGGTATAGGTCCAGAATTAGCTCATGTTGTAATTCGTATCCATGGCATTTGTGTCAATTCTGCTTCAGTAGAACGATTATGGTCAAATATAAGTTATTTACATATTAATCAGAGAAACCATCTGGAGGTAACTTTTTTTAATTATTATATTATAGTATTTAAAAGCAATAAATTTTAAACTAATCTAGGTTTTATTTATTTATATATATAATAAAAAAAGGTGTTAACTATGAGTCAAATTTGAAGTGATATTTTATTTACCCGTAAAATCAAAGATGTCAGAAAATGTGAACGAGAAATACAATGCCTTCATATAGCTATACCAATTAGTTCTGATGATGATGATGAAAATGAAGAATATGAATTAAATGAAGAAAAATGTATTCAAGTAAGTGATGATGAAAATGAAGAAATTAGTGAAAATGTAAATAATGATGATACTAGAAAAGAATTAATTATTCAAAGTGAAGAACAAAAGTAGTATCAATTAATTAAAAAATGGATAGAATTTGGAAATCAGAAAAATAGATTTGAATATAGTGAAGATGAATGTTTTTTATCATCAGAATGGAATAATGATTTTGATTCTACAGGCCGAAATATGCATCTTGCTGATGATAAAATAGCTAAATAAAATTTAAGTTCTTTATTTGAATCTTCTTTAGAATCTTCTTCATTTCTAGGCTCATATAAAATATTTACAAATGCTAATTAAAAATTACTATATTTGAATTTCTGCATTTATTTGTTTTTACAATTTTGTTATATATAGAATAGTTCTTTTTTGTCTTATAATAAAGATTATGATAATACTTTTCGAATTTATAAATTAAAATTACTTCAATTTGATTGGTTAGTATTTATGACTGTAGTTATATGACTTACAAAATTTTAGAATGACTAATGACTTATAATTAGTCATTAAGTCATAATTAGAGCTCTGAATTAGGTCAGGTTAACCTGTGACCTGACCCGATCCGACCTGAAAAATTCAGGTCAGGTAGACAAATTTTTATGTCAACATCAGGTCGGGTTAAGCTTATGATTTAACCTGATAAAATTCAGGTCAACTAATCAAATTAAACGAAATAAAATATTTAAAAAAAAAATTTTTTTTTTGTCTATTTATTTTTTAAAACATCTTTAATTTTATTTAATATACTTTCTTTTTATATTCTAATAAAGTTGTTTGTATAATTACTTTG